GTCAGCGTTTCTACGCTTACAGACATTTCTTATGGGATGGGTAGTGATATTGATCAATATGAGTTTTTTAAAGTACTGTATAATGAACTGTGTTGATATCTGGAAAATCTATAAAATGTAGTGAACCATTATTTTCCATATAACTACTGTATGACATTGAAAAATCACGTCTGAGTAGAAGATGCATTGAAAGAGCAAGATGGATCAGTGGATTTTAATGTAACAGAGTCTAACAGGTTATTGATAAAAGCTAATCCATAATCGTTTAGAATATTTTGCACAACCCTTCAAGAAACTATCACTTGTTGAGTTTTTGGTGTATTATCAAAAAGACTTTTAAAATACTCTTCCTTGCTGCAGTTACATAGCTGTGTTAGGCTGGATTTTCTTCATATACTTAAACCAAAACAACATATTACATCAGATTAACATAAAAGTAGATAGGAGAATTTAACTCTCTTCTTTTAAGTCAGATATTAACATGATTTGCAAAAATGTAAAATAATGCCTCTTTTTTCCCTAAGTTTTTCTGTTTAAGTACAATTGCTCTTTATAAAGATATACATATTACATGAAATGGGCTTATTGCTCTTTTAAAATTAATGAATAAATAAATACTTTGAGAATTTTCAAAAACACAAATTCCTTGGGATGTTAGTACATTTTTTTTTCTCTGTAAAAAGCTTTATTTCCATCTGCTCCAAGGTTGGAGAGAAGGGTTCAGGGTGGTTACAGAGCTGTCTAGTGGCTGTTGGGGAGCAGCGTAGGCAGAAGATGCTTTGAGAGGGGACCTTCAAAGATTGCTGGGCCAGCCTGGGCAACATGGTAAAATCTTGTCTCTACAAAAAACATCACAAAAATTACCTGGGTAAGGTAGTGCACCTATAATCCCAGCTACTCAGGAGACTGAGCTGGAAGTATTGCCTGAGCTCAGGATGTTGAGGCTGTGGTGAGCCATGATTGTGACACTGCACTCCAGTCTGTGTGACAGAGTGAGACTCTGACTTAAAAATTTTTTTTTAAATGATTGCTGGGCTTTGTAGACTCCTTGTCTTGCAAGCCTGAGCCTTTCAAAGAGTTACTCCGCCTACCCAGCCTGGGGGCTGGCCTACTGTGGAGATTGTCAAGTAGTTGTCCATCTTCTTGATGAGTTTCACCTCCGCATCTAGGATGTGGCTTTCCGGGAAATAACAAAAATGGGGTTCTGTGTGGGCAGAACCCAGGACTTGGAGATCCAGAAGGGGCTGGCTCGACTTCTCCAGGGCCATGGTGACTTCCATGGCATCCAGAGTTTGCTGCAAGAGGGTACAGTGCCCCACGTCTTAAAGCGATGTTCAGCACCCTCGTACTTCTCCTCGGCTAGTTCACAAAAGATGTGGCCCATGCCTCCCAGAGCCATTGTCACAGTCGAAATAGAGCCCGAGAGAGGTGGCATAGGAATCCCCAGATGCAAATTTATCAGGTAGTTGACAGTGATCTCCATCTTAGTAGAATGATTCTGACGAACCTGGGAACTCACGGTTGGTTTTCAGAAAGGAGTTAACTACAAAAATGGTGGTAATTGGTCTCAGAAGCAGGAAATGGCCCAGAAGATGGTCCAGGGATGCAGCTGGAGAGGAGATTGGAGGGCTGTCGGAGATCAGAAGAGAGGGAGTCCCGGGTGTGTTCTGCCCAATATCGTGGAAGCAGGAGACAGCGCTGTTGGACCCAGCGCTGTTGGACCCCTGTTGGACCCCTGCGGGTGCTCCAGTCATTTAGAACATAAAAGGATCCAGAAACCTAAAAGCTAGAGAATTGCCGTGTTGAATAAAAGGCAGAAAGTAGTAATTGCATCTTTATGGTAATTAAGAGTGTTTCCTACAAGCAGTTGAAATTATGTTTAGATATTAGTTTCTGGTGTTTTTTTGTCGAGTTTTATACTTTAGTAGTACAGAAATATTTATGCACCCAAGGAACTTTTAATTCTTCCTTAAATGCATGAATGATGCCAGGCAGTTACTGTATCAGATTCTGGGAGTTACGAAAGATGCTCATGGTCCCATGGTGGGTGGAGATATGCAATGTCCAAATTAGTCAGAGTAGAGTGTCGTCTTCCAAGAGTGAGGAATGAACCACAAGGGTGCATTCAAGTGGGGTGCATGGGTGGCAGGGGAGGGAGCTTTAACCAAGGGGGCAGATTCTGGTGGTTCAGTGGATTCATCCTGCTGCCGGCACTTTCCCACCAAGCCTGCTTTCCTCTCTTTCATCCTTAGCTCATAGTCTTAAAGTGCTTCTGTCAGATGTATCCAGCTTTCTCTAACAGGGTGTGTTGCTGTCCACCTCTTTCTATCTTGGACCTATGAAGTCTTTTTGCTATTTATTCTTGATTCTGTAGTTCCTGGCTTGATAGACGGATGCCTGCACCTCAGATCCTGCTCCTGCTAAAAAATAACCTTGTTGTATTCCTGATACTTAAAAGTTGCATATGATTAAAAAATGTGTTTACTGTAAAAAGTGATTTTTGAATAAGCTTTTAAGAAGGTTCTTTGTTTGACTTTTGCATGTTATAGTCTGCTACCTAATTAGCACTTCTCCTTGATATAAACTTAAAAGAGTGAAACCATTTCCAATGTAGTCTCTTAAGATACCTCAGCACATTATTTTTGTTCAATTTATATCACTATTAGTGTATTAATAATAATTGGTCTCTTATTTTTATGGAAATTGTGGGATATTTGTAGCTTTAGTCAGCAAACTCTTTGGGGGTTTGTTTTATTATTACGGTACATTATGTTTTGAGCTAAATATGATGATAATATTGGCTTATTACAATAAAAAGGAACCAGGAATGCTTGTCTTGGAATTGTCAAGGACTTAACGATATACACACCAGGAACGTGGAAATGATTCATCTCCAACTGCCTGAGAACTCTAGAATGACACAAGCCTTCTAGAAGAACTTGAGGGTCGATCTGCAGGCAAAAGTTATGAAAGATGGGCTATAGCTGAAGTGTTCTGAGAGGAGACATTCTGACTAGACCCATTTGTCAACAAGAAAGCGTTTAGAGAGTATTTAGAAACAGAGGAGAAAACACTTGACAACCTGTTTTGCTCACAGTTAGTTAGGGAAGAGGAAGGGACAAGTGGGAAAGGATCCAGTGGTGACGCTGACTGCTGACTGTTTTTCTTAAAGAAATGCTCACGATTAAAACAGTTTCCTGGCCAGTTGGATTCCTCTACTTACCTACAACAGCTTCCAATTCCTGCGTCATCCTAGAGCCATCCATCTCCTAGTTTCTTTTTTTCACCTTTTCCCCACTGAAGAAGCTGCGGGGACGTGGGTGATCACGCCAGCCCCTTCCATGTTCATGCTGGCCAGCGCAGTCCCGCTCTCACCTGCTACCTCTGCGTGGTCTTATTCCTGCTGGGAGAGTCCACCCTTTACCTTGGTATCAGGCTTATTGTCTCCTTCTGTGAGTGTCTCCTCTTGAGACCTGCCTAATTGTGACACGTCCCTTGGCATTCTTGTACTGCTCCAGAAGAGTCTTGTGTTGTGAAGACAGTGAAAGGGCCTGTCCTGGTGTCCTGGTGTGGGTGCTGCTCCCCCTGGAGGGGTGGTGGACGCCCGAGGGCTGCTACGTGTCGTCATCATCTCAGTCTTACTCTTCCTCCTCTTCTCACTCTTCTTCCTTTGTCACATCTGCTGCCCCCTTTGCCAAATCAAGGTTCTTCATGAGAAAAGTTGTTTAAGGAAAGGAAGTACTGAACCTGAGGGCCCTCAAGGAAATAATAGTTGTCAGAATTTGCTTAACAATTTCAAACATAACGGGTGGGGGTATCAGACCCATGGGAGCAAAGCAAGGGAAGTTGCCTCCTTGCGGGTTCTCTACATCAGCTCCGTCCACATCAGAAGTCACACCAGCACCTGTCACCGTGGAAGCCTTCTCCTTGGTGCCGGTGAACATTCAGTGGTGCCTATAAAGTGCAAGACAGTCTTGTCACAAGCACGTCAAGGGTTTTCCTGAGATAGCCTATAGATGGTCGTGGTTCCCAGTTGCAGGTCCTGGAGAGCTTTGGGAGGGCAGTATCCCTGTGTCTACCACTCTACCCAGTCAGTGGCTGGTGTGAGGCCAGGGACAGGAAAGACAGTCCACAAATATGTTATGAAGGAAGGAGAAGAGGAAGATACTATCCGCTTCGGTAGTGTGTGTGGGTGGAAATGGCAGGAGATCAGGAAAGGCTTCATGGACATAGTGGCATTTAAAGCGAACCTGGCTAGTTTGCTGGGAGCAAGGGAGGGGAGGTCCTGTGCAAGCATCCGAAAAGTGGGAGGGGCTGAGCTTCCCTCCCCGCCCCACCTGCCGGACTCAGGCCCTCACCTCTTGTCACCTGAGTTTCTCTGTATTAATAGGGTCTTTCTGGCTGGCCTGTGTAAGGGATTCCAAAAATACTTCACCACTTCCATCTACCTGGCTCCTTGGCACTTGTCATCATCCAACCTACTGTTTGTTTTTTCTTCAATTACAATAATAAGAAGGCAGGGACACTGTTCTATTCTTTTCTTTATCCCCAACACCTAGGACAACTCCTGACTGAGAGTACGTACTTAGTAAATATTTGTTGAGTGATTGAACAATTGACTGAATGATCCACTGTGTCGTAGGAACACAAGTTTTCTTGTTTATGCTTTATGAGGTTTATGGTGGGGTATTCGGGAGTGTTTTGAGAAAAATAAGGCTCTGACTGTGATTGTACCAGTGGCATGCTCTTCTCTCTGAGGCATGAAAGAATGATGGTTCAGGAAGATCCTCACGGCAGGATGCTGCAGTCTTCAGGTTTTTCGAAGGAAAAGGTTTTTGAGAACTGTGTGGGTGGGGTGCGTGTACACAGCAACACTAGGAGTAGTGGGGAAGAGACTCTTTCTCATGCTTTCTTCAGTTATTTGAAGTGAATATCCTTGAAGGGTGTGTGTGTATGTCAGAATGATGTTATGCTGATTTGATCTGTTCTGTTCCTGACAGGAGACTGAATAGCACCCAGGGAGAAATCCGCGTTGGCCCTAGTCACCAGGTAAGGTACATTCTAGTAGCTTCTTTTACAGATTTTTGTTATTACCCAGTGACATTAAGTACATTAGTATTGTTGTACAGCCATCATCACCATCCATCTCCTGAACTCTTTTTATCTTACAAACTATCTTACTGTAAAAGTAGTAACCCCCAATCCCCGTCTTCCCCAGTTCCCTGGCATCCACCATTCTACTTCCTGTCTCTGTGTGTGAGTACTCTACCTCATAGAAGTTCTGCATGTGAGTGGAGTCAGACAATATTTGTCTTTTTGTGTCTGGCTTATTTCACTTAGCATAATGTCCTCAGAGTTCATCCATATTGTAGCATGTGTCAGAATTGTCTTCCTTTTTAGACTAACCTATCATATATACTTGTATCACAGGCTTGTTTATCTATTCATCTACTGAGAAACATTTAGTCACCACATACTTGTATTACGAAGATTTTTAAACCCCTTTTCTTCAGGAGAGTCAAGATGGTTAGGATACTTTTCTGTTGCCAGCTGATATTGAGACCTGTACCCTTTCATGTTTCGTTGAGTTACTACATCTCTTCAAGATTTCATTTTTGTTTGTTTATTTTTTTAGAGTCAGGGTCTTGTTCTGTCACCTAGCCTGGCATGGTGGTGTGATCATAGCTCACTGCAGCCTCTAACTCCTGGGATTACAGGCAGTTGCCACCATACCTGGCTAATTCTGTTTCTGATTGCAGTATCAAGTTAGGATGCTTTGACTGGCAGGCTCAGCTTGACTGTTTAAGTCTCACATGTTGGACCATCCTGTTCAGGCAAGACCAGGGCTCTGCTGTGCTTTTCTGAGATTCTCTTACACTCAGTTGCCCTCTGGGGTCTGCCTTTAGCTGCAGGTTGGTAGCAGAATTTCACTGCTTGTGAGATGTACTTTTTCCTTTACATTTTATCTCAAAAGTTGGGCTTTATTTTACATTCTGTGGATGGCTATGATTTATTGTCTGCACTTAATCTTTTCTAAATGCATATAAAATAACAGTGAATCTTACAGTGAATGAAACACAGCAATTGGTGAGGAAGAACAGAATCATCCTTTCCCCTCAGGAGCATGAAAAGTGTTGGATGTCCCCTGTAGTCCCACATCTTATTGCTGTGGATTGGATGATGTGTCCATTTCTAAGCCACGAGGAAGATGGTTCAATATGACTGGCATAGCTACCCCTGGAATCGGAATGGGTGCTGGGAGTCAGTAACTGAGGCCCTCATGTCTAGAGACCGTATGAGTGCATGGAAGTTTTTTTTTTTGAGTTGGAGTCTCACTCTGTCGCCCAGACTGGGTGCAGTGGCCGCTCCCGGCCACCGCAGCCTCGACCTGCTGGGCTCTGGCGATCCTTCTGCCTCCAAGTAGCCTTCCAAGTAGCCAGAATTACAGGCATGCGCTTCCATGCCCGGCTGACTTTTTGATTAATTGTCGAGATGAGGTCTCGCTGCCCAGGTGGGTCTCGAACCGGCGGGCTCAGGCAATCCACTCACCTCAGCCTCCCAAAGGTGTCGAATTACAGGCTGAGCCACCGAGCCCGGCTGCTGTGACTACCTTATTGACCACGTGCAGATGTCTTGCAGAACCTGTGACACAGAGACCCACTAATGTCCACCTACATTATCATAGCCCCTAGAGAAGAGCGTGACAAGGATTCTAATGCTCCTGCACCTTCCCAAATGACATTCCTTCGAGCTAGTGGAGGGTGCACCTCCCCTTATCTCCTAGGCATTCCCAGTGGGTAGCTTTGGGGGATCCTTAGCTTCCCTGTAGATAATGCCCAATTTACTGGAAGACTGAATCCCCACCTGCTCCTCCTCTGAGCGGTCATAACTTTTGTAATTACAAGTTTCATGACTCTCACAGTCCTTGCCCAATGCATGATGTCCTAGGCCTTGTAAATTCCCTTTACTCTAGGCAAGCTTGATTGCCACTATGAGATACCTCTG